TTTTTTAAATTCACATTAAGCCAGCTTTTGTCTCAAGCAAATGATATATATGCTTACTCTTTTAAACATATAATTCTCCAGGAAATTGGTAAAGCTTTGTTACCAAGTGTTGTAACTAATAGCAAGGCCCTACCTGCCCCGGTAGAACAAGCCAGCCCTGTTTCAAGTTCAACCGATGCTTCTTTACAAAAATCTGAATCTATTCCACAAGTGGTCAACTCGGTTTCGAAAGCACAAGTTCAAAAGGAATCACTTCCCATTGCTCCAAGGCCACTTTCACCCTATCCTAATGTAAGTGCCTTCAAAATCCCTTTCGACACTTTAACGTTGCACGAGTTTTTGCAAACAATTTGGAAGGAAAAGGAAAAAAAAAAGAAAAAGATTGCCAGCATATGCATGGCAAAAAAATGACTATTAGATGAAAGTTAATATTGTCCATTGACATAAGAGATAAATAGTGTTTATTTTTCGGACCTTTTTTGTTGTACTCGTTTCCCTGATTGGATTGTGATTTTCAGTATCCCGATTACAAGCCTCCATCGTCACCCATACCATCGCAGCCATGATAACGTTCGGAGGGCCTTTAGCAAACAAACTCAACTTCGCCCAGGAAATCAGACGTGCAGATTTTTTTATGAATTATGATCGTCTTAAAGCAGATTTTTCGAGGCCATGAGAGCATATTTCTGCAAGAAATGTATCTGTAGGGTCATTTGTAGATTTGTTCTTGAATTCATGCATTTGGCTATGTCCCAAATTTTATGTTTTAGTCATTCTGTATATCTTGTTAACCAGTTTCTTAGTTGATTGTAATGATATGATGTGATTTATGAGTGGGAAGTCCAAATTTAATCGTTTCTACTTTCTGCATAATGGATGAAGTAAAGCATACTCCCATGGTTTAGGGAGATTCCATGGTCCCGTTACGGAACTATTTCGGCGGGGTTTGTAACAATTAGATCATCACTATCCATGACGGTTACATTATGATCTAACGGTTAGAAATCCCGACGGAATGGTTCCGTAACGGGACTGTAGCAT